GGCTGACCTTCCCTGATACTGCCTAAAACAGACAAGCAATTCTTCTCTTGCTTAGCTATGTTTAAATGGCATGTTGCATCTGGCACACCATTTTACTTTACTCTTACACTTGCACCCAAGATTTGTCATAGTGTCTTCATTCACTGGCATTTGTGCACTGAATCAATCTATGTAAGTTTTTATCAAAACTTGCATTTATGTAAGCATATAATGGCATGTTGTCTGTTTCCCTGCTCTGTTGACATTCATCAGAAAGAAGTTCTGAATGCCCTCTGTCTTTTAACTTCTGTGAATTACACCAAAGAAAGACTCTAAGAGTTGCATTTCCTAATACGCAACTTGATCTTGGGTGAAAATTGTGTGCATGAGTGTAGCAGTTGGACAGATCAACATGATGGGAGGATCAGCATGATAGGAAGGTGCTGTAAGGGAAGAAGATTGCTTACCTGTATGAAAAGATTGCAGGTTCACAGGAAAAAGCTCCACCAAGAAGGGATCTCCAGGAAGAGATCCTTCCCCAGTGGCAGTCAGCCCTTAAATGAAGCCTAAGAGGGTGCAGGCTTCACCCCTTCCAGAAACACAGCTGAATTGCCTTCACTTGTGCCCCCAGATGAAGCACAGGTCTTCAAGAAGCTCCGTCCTTTCCCCAGCTGCTCAGTCAGTGGTTCAGGCCGTAACTCAACAGTTCCCTTACAGTGAGTTATCATTCTGACCAATGCTTTTGGAAATTTAGAACTGCAGTTAAACCCACATGCATGAGTTTTGGGTGATACTTGGTAGCCTAATCATACTATTGAGTGCCATCCAATGCATCAGAAACTCATGTAGGGCTGTGGCAGAGGACCTAGAGGAAACACGTCACCTTTCAGAGCAGTAGCTGGAGAGGAGAGAGCATAGTTAGAATGGCACTGGACACCTCATGTTTAGACAAATGAATACCATCCACACGTGTGACTACTCATCTCTTTTATGCTGGTGCAGTTATATTGCATGCATGTATACATGCACAAAATCTCAGAAAACACTAAACTGCATGTATAAAAACTTTCACCAGTGATATAAGAAAAACTTAATAAAAGTCAATAGGCTCTGATTAAGACTGATAACTTCAAGTCCATTTCATTTTTGATCTGTCCTTCCCACTGTCTCCCCGTTCTAAGAGACAGAAGTTTGCTAACGGTCAGCTTTTTCTGTTTGAGAAGTCTTCGAAGTCATACAAGCTGAACATAACAGACTTACTGAAGTTAAGATCTGGAATCTGTAAATCTAAAAATATATTATCTGACTCCTCAGAGCAGCAAAGAATTGGCAGAAGCTTCAAATATCATAACTTGTCACCAGCTGTTTCTGGGGGCATGAATGCTCCCTGCTCCTCCACCTTTTACCTTGTAGAATTTAAAATAATGGGGTGGGGAAAGAAATCTTAATTTCCATTTTGAGTCTGAACTGCTTGATCATTAGTTGAATCATCATCTGAGTAATTCAAGAGGTCAGATGAATAGAGAAGTTTGCTTATCAGTTCTGCAGGCTGCCATTTCAACAGCCTTTGAAAACTGTAATTTTAGGTGGTTTTGTTTTGTTTTGTTTTTTAAGGATCTGCTTTGTAGGGAAAAATGAAAGAAGTTATTCTTAAAAGCCTTTATATTTTATAGTTGTATTGCAGTGAAACATGAAAATGGTAACAAGTCTTGAAGGTAGGAATGGAACTTCTTTAAGGTAGCTTTTTAGAGGTCCTGTTCACAACTCTCAGAAGTTTGCAATTATCTATTTATTTATTTTAATCATTTTGGTTTTATTTATTTGTTTGTTTTGTTTTTCCTGAACATGATCTCTTAAGTGTTGCTAACTAAAGAGGACAATAAAAGTGTAAATATCCTAGCCAGGTATTTTCAAAAGCTGCCCAGGAATCACATCTTTCCAGTTCAGCCAAGCTGGCTGATACATATTTATGAACCAGTTTCTCTAGAAACACTGTATTTCATACATGAGTTTACACTACTTTTTTGTCTGTCTGTCCCCACTTAGTATGGATTCAACATCACAGGTATTGACTTGCATGTAGCAGCTGTGTCTTGCTGTATTCAGAGCCAAGAGACATTTCTGTCATTCTTCAGAAATTATGTGTACTAGAAACAGTCTCTTTTTGGAACAATGTTCCTTTTGGTACCTGATGGCAGGTAATTATGGAAGCTCATAGTAGATCCTCTCACAGTAGCAATGAAAGAGGAAAGGTGCTGTAAGTGTTACCTTTAGCTTAAGGCAGAGAATGGTGAATGGGCATGATGAAATATTATGTAGTTGTAAATCTACTTGCTTTATGAAGAAAATATTTAGTGCAGGTTGACTTCCTGATCATAAAAATATCTGTACATAACATAGTTACTGAACAAGGTTCACGGGAGGAAAAAGAAAAGACCGAGCTGGGAGTGTTCTGTGTAGAATTTAATCCAGCTGGCATGCTTACAGGAACACCTACAGATTAAGTCCTTGACAAGGTGTGGAAAAAATCATGTAGATATTAACATGGGCTCAATAGTACTTACAGCCCAGTCAAAACTCTCCTGGTGAGGTCTCACCTGGAGTACTATATCTAGATGTGGCGTCCTCAGTACAGGAGAGATATGAAACTGTTGGAGTGCGATCCAAGGGATGGGAAACCCTCCTTACCAGGACAGACTGAGAGAGCTGGGGCTGTTCAGCCTGGAGAAGAGAATGCTCTGGGGAGACCTGATGGGGACTTTTCAGTATCTAAAGGGGGGCTTTGTGAAGAAAGGGGACAGGATTGTTCAGTAGATTCTGTTGTGACAGGACAAGGGAAAATGGTTTAAAACTAAAAGAGGGCAAATTTAGACTGGACATAAGGAAGTTGTTTTTTTTCAACTTAAGGCTGGTGAGGCACTGGAACAGGCTGCCCAGTGAGGGGGTGGAAGTTCCATCCTTGGAGACATACAAGAACTGGAGTAGTTTATAGTACCATTACCTATTTCTTGCCTTATTAGAAAATCAGATTTCAGTATGTCTGGTATATCTTTCACTGGAATTCATTTTCACTTCAAAAAGATTAAGATTTCAGTGGAGCAAACTTCATAAAAAAAATTAATTAAATTTCATCATCAGGAGTTGCAATCCATGTCCTAATGGCTAAAACCAAAATGCTGCTTCATACTTTGTTACCCATAAGCCAACTAAAAACATACTGGTTCTTTATGCATACCTCTTGTGGCACATAAGAAAAATAAGATAAATACAGTTATCTCAGAAAATCTTCACTTTATTTTCCACGTTCATACTGTGAAAAATATTGCATACAGGGGATATTCAGATTAGTGGCCCTACATTTAAATATAATTATGTAAAATGTGTCTTTTGGCATATAACTGACAACTTTTATTCTAAGTAAATGAAACTCAGCAGGAATGGAATACTATACTGGAAATAAAATGACCATTGTCTGAATAATGTTTCAGAATGGAAATTAAAAATATGTAAAGCATTTCTGTTAGAAGTATGTAACATATTGCTGAAAGTCATTTGGTATCCTGATTCATTGTTCTTCCTTATTCTGTTGATATTCATAAAGTAACTTTTTAACATAGAGTTTGGCCATGCCTGTTGTCTCTCTGCTACTTTTCAGTAAACTTTATTTTCTAACTGTGCAAAACAGTTGATCAGGGTAACCTACCAGGTGGTTCTTTCTGGTTATAGAAGAATTGAGAATACTGCAGAATTAATCCAATCTCAGACAAAACTGAAGATACAAGGACAGCTGTACAGGAAAGCAAGTCCCTACATTTACATTTCTGTATCAAAAAAGAAATATACTTTTCACGACATAAAAAAAGACAGGTAAAACTCCTAGAGAAAAAAATGTCATATTGGTAGAATGAGTATTTTTCAGTGTCTTGAGCCTGCTGTCAAATTCCTAAGAAATTCTACAAATAATTTGTGGGGTTTAATTGTGACCACTTGACTATTCTAGATGATGATCAGAAGTTTTCAAGAGTTATGCATCCATAGCTAGTTGCCTCTGATGCACGGTTGTGTAAGGATTGGGGTTAGTTAGAATAGTTTCAGCTGCAGTTGCTTAGTTGTGGTTTTCTTTCCAGATTGACTCTTTCAGGTTGATGCTGCAATTACATGTGATTAGGATCCGAGCTTTGTGTGTCATCTGAGAAGTGGCACCTCAAAGCACAACACTGCTGAAACTGAGTGGGATAGTTTAGGTGGTACTAGACACAAAGTGACACGTCCTTTCTTTGCACAGTCTGAGGTAACTGAGTTGCAGAACAAGATGGTATAATTAATGATGAAAACCTGACCAGTATACTCTGTATGCTGTAGAACTAGTTTTCCAGACATCCTATACATCACTCACAAACTTTATTTAGCAAAGAGTAAAGTTCCTGGCTTTCTTGCATATTTTGACACCAGATCTTTAAAACATCTTAAGCTCACTGTTTTCATGCCCACCCATTTTTCTCATAGCATAATTTTGATCTGTAGTTATTGATGATAAAATGTGACTTTGAAACCGTATCTTGTCTACAGTGTTTTTATATCATATGTGAAAATGACATTGAAATATGAGTTCCTACTTCATACTGAATGTCTGTAACATAACAGGTAGTGCTGATATAACTTGAGTTGCCCAACTGCCATGTGGTTTAGCCAATATGACTCTGAAGGTTGGCCTAGATACCTTTTGGATAGTTGCAACCTGAAAAAGAGTTGGTGGAGAATCATGGACACAATTTTTGGTGGTTACTTAAGTAAGCTGAACCAGAACCATAAACTTTCATGCTACATTGTTATTCTTAAGTAAGCTGAGAGAATATCATTCTTGTATTTGCTTTAGCTTCTATTAACTACAGCAGATATTTTGATGTAAAAGAAGTTGCTTCAGAAGAGTAGCAGTGATAATATCCACTGGGATGGGGGAAGTGTTTGATTTTGGGTGTTTTTTGTTTGTTTGTTTTAAAGAGAGGTAGAAGCCCGTTCCATTTCAGTGGGGTTATCATTGTTTATTTAAAGGTATGTTTTCTTAGTGTAAACCTTAATGGTGAAATCAGAGGCAGCCATGCTTGCTAGGTCTTTAGAACACAAATCCACAAAACCAACTTCTGGTTACAAATGCCAGCCTGAAAAAGTCTTCACACTTTCCTCTCCACAGCACGTGCTTGTCAACATACACATTCTGTACAATGTGGTAAGACACTTTTACTTAACATTCACACAACCAAAATGGGTTAAAAATATGTTTTGAAAATTTTAAGACAGTGCAGACTAAACAATCTGTAATTTAAGGCATGTTAGAAACAGAGGGAAAATCATTGTGCTCATTTATTCGGTTCTTAAGTGAAATAAAAATACAGCTTACATAGCTTTCTAATTGACAGCCAGAAACAGATCTTTGGAAATAATAACAATACAAAAAAATCCTAGTGTAGGCATATGAAAAAAGCACTTATCTGCAGGATGGGACCAGTCTGTTTATTTTTTTAAATAATAAATGCAGTAGATTACCCCACTCTGTCTGTACCAGCAGTCACCTGCTTACTTTGTGATACCCTTAAAACCTTTATCAGGGTTTTACTGCTCTGCGTTGTAAGAATCTGGCCTTTATGTCATTATCAGTGTTGAGATGCTTCCTATTGCATGGGATGCATGTTGTGGACTCACAGTAGAGAAGAAAACTGTCATGCAGCCAGAAATCTGCTTTAACTAGCTATGTGCATAGTATAGCAGAGCAAGGATCATCTTGCTGTGATCCTGCAACATGCTTCTCTTCCCATGCAATATGTTAAGTATTCTCAAGTCGGCTCACAGGTGTTCTATAGAGCACTTAGGAAACTAGCTCATTTATTTCCTGAAAGGTTGGCAACTCCTGTTCTCATTCTTAGAATAAGTTCTTAAATATACTAGAAACCTTGCAGTTCTGCAGTATCTATTTAGCTAGCCTAAAGAAATTCCTGTTAAGTCCTATCAGCACTGCCAAATGAAAAAAAAACAAGGCTAGAAGAAAATTGAAATAGCAGAAGTCAGGATTGCTTTCTGTTAACTACTGGCTTCTGCTCTATCCCTTAAAATTCAATTTCTGTGCTTGTTAAGCATGCAGGTGGGATTTGTTGTTGCCAAGCCGCTGTTCAGATTCTCAGCAATCACATACGCATTGTTAGAACTGGCCTGGTTCCACATGCATTTGGTACATAAACTGACTGTTTTTGTAGTGGGCTGTGAGGATGGTAGCTGATGCTTCCCAGTTGCTGGGATACACAAGGTATTTCACAACAGTTCCCTGAAGAATGTTCTGTCCTGCCTCCTACATTCCCCATATTAATCTCTGCAGATCAATTTCCTCTCCTCTCCCTCAAAAAAACTGCAGTTAGGTAATGTTGCCTAATATCTTATTTTCCTGCTGCTGACCCATCTACTCCACCCTAAGCATGATGTCAGTGATGGAGTAGGTTATGTCAGCTTCCTCATAGCAGAAAGGAACACAAAGTAGGAGAAACCGAGCTGAGCAGTTTTCAGAAAGTGAAAGGAATATATTACGAGTTGGGTACTTCTAACAAGTGGGATGGAGGGAATCTCTTACAATTGGTAGGTGTCTATCAGCTGCTTAGATTTTTATCACTTGGAACTGAGTCAGGAACACCAAACCAAGTTTAAGAGAAAATATGCAAGACAAGGCAAAAGTAGATTGATCAAAGAAGTCAATTTCACTTAAAAAGGTTCAGCAGAAAGCGACTGAACCTCAGAAAAACAAGGCCAGCACCTGATGAAAAAGAAAGCAGTTCACTTTTTTTGGTGGATGCGATGCAGTACATTTGCTACAGACTGTAAAGCATACAAACGGGCTGTTATTTCAGTGCAGCTGATGAGCTTAAGAACCACATATTAATATTTCTCTGATTTCTTTAAATACACCATATGGCATTGGTCATGAATAAAAGGTGCAGAGCTTGTACCATTACTCGTTTATTGTTTTGCCCTGCCTTGAGAGGTGACATCCAGACAGCTACTCTCTTATGTCCAGGCTTGTAGCTCCTGTGCTTAGGGAGTTTTCAGAAGGCCAAAATACCTTCACAACTGTTTGGGCCATTTCTCCAGCATAAGACACATGGGCCTTTAACAGTAATAAGGCACCTGGTAACATTCTTTTTTTCTACAGTACCCTTCTTTTCTATGCCACTAGAAGGATGATGTTTCTTTTTCGATCCCATTCACAGTCAGTGAGATGGAGTGTTGTAAGGTTTCTCCCTTTTACCCCTTACCTTTGATATCTGCCACAGGTGAGGGATGGATTTCAGAGGTCACGTGTTAAGTAAGACAGCCTGAAAACCCGTGAGGTAACACTGATTTTTTAAGAAATCAAAGCAAAAACTGAATGTTTTGGAGGGCAAACAGAGGCATCATTAATATTAAGTTACATAATTCAGGAAAACTATTGAGAAACTGCGCTCCAAGTTGTGATCCAATCAGGAAAAAGAAGCTACAGCATCAACAGAGATCATTTTAATCATTTCAACAATTGCTCACTATACATACGATACCAAAAAATACAGAGCGAATGGGTCATCAGAGATATTGACCTTACTGGCTAAGGGAACATGAAAAATCAGTCTGACATCTACTCGTACTTCTGAAAAGCAATTTGGCTACAATAGATTCACCTAATGTAGGTAAAATTTAATGAAGGATCATTGATCGCTCACAGAGAATTTGATGCAAAAGAAGACCACTGAGTTATGAAGCTTCTGTTGTTAGTTTTGTTAGAACGGTATTTCACTTCACCAGTGGATAAGAAAGTTTGACTGCCGTTTCCATTGAACGTTTCTGAGTAACTGGGGTCTCAGGGACTTTTTTGCTTTTGTCCTTTAGACACTTAAAATAGCCTGCAAAGTGTTAGAAATAACTTGATTACATTTCTTTTAAAAGTTGAAAAGATCTACCTGAAGCATAAGTTTAGCCAAGGCCACAAAGTCATGTGAGTTTTAAATATACATAATATCTTACTGTGCCAAAGCATCTCAAGGCTTTTTATAGAAGATCTACAATGCCACTGTTAGCTGAATTGAAACAAGCAAGTCTTTGGTTTGAGAGGCAACAGCCAAAACATTCTAGCATTGAAACCAAATAGCAGAGATAGAATGTTTGGAAATGGAAGAATGAAACAAGGTCAATAAAGAGTACCTAAGGCACCTTGTTTATAGTCATCTTTGCTACACTCCTTAAGACCTCCAAATAATATATAAAACTGCAAATGCTAAGGAATGTGAAGATGAAACAGCAGAGGACAAAAATAAGTTACTCTTATTCCTAGTTAAAATTCCCATGATTGAAGGACATGAATAAATCTATTTCTTCCTGCGATAATGGAGTAAAGAAAATAATCAGATCTAGGAAAATGAGAAACCAGTACCATTAAGAGCAAGTTCATTTGATTCTCATGAATTGCCTGTCAAAATGAAGTAGAAAAAAAGGCTGGACACTGAGATGTGGATATTTTCTTTAATGTCTAGTGCATTTCTCAGTCTCAAGTACTATAGAAGGGGAATATCCCCCTTAATTTAAAAAACAAAGAATAGGACAGTGCAGTCTGTACTAGATTAAGGACTGTACAGCAGGATGTGCAAAATTGTCCCTGCAATATACAATGGAGAATTTTGAAGAGAGGTGGGAATTCAGTTTATTCTACAATATTTTCAATCACCAACTTAGTTGGGACCTTCATCAAATGCAACACGCAGTTGACATTAAAATATGCTACATCTAAGTACAGAATGGTTACAGTTTTGTTTTGGCCCATCCTCCCTGAAAATCAATTTGACAGTGGTGGTGGGAAGGATTCCATTACTTCTTTGCCTCAATACTAGATGCTTTGTGTGAGTCAGCTGTATTGAGTCAGTTCCCTGTTTTTATGTTAGGAAATAGAGCCTATAATGAAAGCTCTCTTGCAGTTTTCAACATACTGGCTTATTATATTTTTCCTGAACTGGGTGCAAGATGTTCAGTCAGTTTCCAGACTTAAGTTTGCTTCCTTCTTCTAGCCAGAGGGGAATTCATCCCTCTGCCTACTTTTCAAGCCTAAAAAAAAAAAAAAACAACCCTCTATTCATCTCAGTTTCTGGCCTTATTGTATTATTAGCTTATTTAGACACACCTCTGAAAGTTTCAGAATACCATGAAAGATTGGAAGGAAAAATGGAAAAAGGCAGACTTAGAATAGAATAGTTTCAGTTGGAAGGGACCTACAAAGATCTTCAAGTCTAACTGTCGCAAAAAATAAAATCTGTAGGTTTCAAGGTGTGTTCAGCAGGACGCTAAGTTAGCTGAACACTTCGGGGGATATAAATGCTAGTAAGTTTTTCATGTAGTTTTGGGAACATCAAACTAAGATCTGCAACAGCCAGAAGCCTGGTTACGTTTTAATACATATTAATATAAAAAATAACAAAACTGTACCACGGCATTTAGTGTTCATGAAGATGCACGTATGATTGTTATACTTGTGGCATTTTTAGGAAAGCACATCAAGCTTTAGAGTAGAATAAGACACCACTGTCTTTCAGTACCTAGATTACACTGAGAATTTGTGCTCACAAAGTACAAAAAACACAAACAATTTTTCTCATTGTCTGCTTTTCCCTTGCATTCTCCCCTCAGGTATGGCCCATTTCATGTTCCCTCGGAGCTACCTTTGGCTATATGGCTGGTCTGATTATTGCACCTCTGTGGATACACTGGAACCGCAAGCAGCTTACATACAAAAGCAGATAACTGGCGCAAAGAGAGACAAGGTATTTCTTTGTGCAGATTCCATACAGACTGTGCAAAAGTTTCTTTTTTGTTGTTGTTTTTTTTGTTTTTTTTTCCCCTCTAGATATATCTGTATATGTGTAGTCAAAGCAGACGACTATCCAAATTCATTTAGAGTATTACAGGCCAAGCACCTCCACTCAATAGCATCATACAGATGCTGTTTCAACATGGTGCAGTTTTTGCTTCCTCTAGACTATGTAACCCTGAGAGATTGTACCTTCCAGTCTGAATAAAATGTTTGTAACAGATGTGGTGGCTTCTTATTACAAAGTTCATTGATTTTGATTGTATTCCTCTGGATTTCACTGGTTGTAGAAGGCAGAATCATTATTTTAGCTTTCAAACAAGTTTTCTGTACTTAACGCGTTGTATTTAAGTTCAGTAGAATTTCACAGTAAGCCTGGCCATTGTCAAATGTATCTCACGTGATCAAACAGCAGTTTATGCATCTCGAACCTATTCTCTTCTTCACCGTATGTTTCTTTGGAGTTAGAATGGCTATAATAGCTTCATCAAAAACAGTCTTCAGTCCTTTCTGTGTTAAAGCTGAACACTCCACATAGCAGTAGGCTCCTATCTGTCAAGAAAATAAGTTAATTCAATAGCAACATATTGCAGCTGTTCAGAACTGTGCACCTCAGCGATTTGTTTCTATAGTGAAAACCACAAAGTTTGGCTGCGATCTTGCAAATTTTTCTGAATGTGCTTCCTCCTGTAGAAGAACAGAAGATTTGTATTCTGGCCAAAGATAGGGCATTTCTTTAATTTGGTTTGTCTTCTAGAGGAAGCATATTAAATAAACTCTTTGGACAGGCAGTGAGGTCCTCCAGGCATTTTCAGTAACTAAACAGCAAAAAATAACATGACCAATTTATGTTTCAAAAGGAAGTCACAACAGAAACGGTCACAGTATCCACACAGGGTGTTAAAATGGTAATACAGCATTCAGAAATAACTTCCTACACATGGTTCCAGCACCTTGCTTCAGCATGGGGATTTGACAAGGTGACCTCCAGGGCTCCTTTCTAACCTCAATCATTCTGGGATTTCAACTATCTCTTATTAATGCTTACCTAATTTTTACCGAGTTTCTATTCAGAAAGTTAGAACAATTACTAATAAGGAAGTACTATTCCATAGGTCTGCTCCTTAGCTACCAGTTATGAGGTTTCCTATATCAACTGGTAAAAGAAATGGGCAAAGCTGTAGAGGAAGAAAAAGCCAATTGTAAATTGATGTTTGTTGCTTCTTTGCTATGTCATTTCATTTAGGAGTTTCTAGTTTACCTCTTTTGCTAATTTCTGTCCTTGTTCCACAGATAAAGGCTTCTCTTTCATATCATTCAATCTTGCCAGAGTTTTGGGGTCATCACGAAGATCAATCTAGCAAGAAAGATTGCAGACATGTTGGAATAGCTTTTTTCTAAACAAAAGTCAACTGGTTGTTATATAAATAACCTCTTTTTAAAGCATTAAAAAAATGGAATCATGTCACTGTTCAGATTTTCAATCCTAACTGATCCAAAAGCCCTGTAAATTTAAGCTGTGAACTGCTTTCAGTCCAGAAGTTCAAAACATTTACTCCCTAACTCAGCTCTTCAATTAAAATACTAGAATGTATATCCAGCAGTGGCAGCACAACAAACTCAAACATAATAGCGACAGGTGGATCACTTCATAGCTGGAGTCCAATCCACTGGCTACAAGATGCAGGAGGAAATTTTGTCTCACTTCTCCACTTGTTCCTTAGCTTCCATAAGTAATAGATATGACTGATAGTTGCAGACCAATGCATTTATTTCAACAAAGCAGAAGTTGTTTATTAGAGAACAACACAGATTTAAAGTTTCCTGCCAATTGTTGGGGTAGTTCTGCAAATCCAGAAGGAGATGCTGCTCAGATCCTGCTGGACTTGAACTCTGAGCCCCAGGAAAGGGCATAAACAGTCAAGTGATTTATATAAACTAAAACAGAAACAGATACCTGTGTTCCTACTAGTAAAAAAGGAACATTAGGTGCATATTCCTTCAACTCCGGTACCCATTCTTCCTTCACGTTTTGAAATGAAGCAGGGTTTACCACTGAGAAGCAGATAAGGAAGACATCGGTCATAGGATAAGATAAAGGTCTCAGACGATCATAGTCTTCCTGAGAAAGAAAAATTCTGTTATCTTCAATGCTAAGTTGTTGCTTGTATTTAATTAATTTTATATTCAGGAACTATATTTGTATTTCAGGAAGTATGTTGAGGCAAACTTTCTCAATGTTTACAACTGTTCCTGGTTAGTTAGTGTGGAACAAAACCTCGATATAAGAGTAATTATACGTGAATATAAACAGAAATACAATCCCTATGTTAGTACTGACAGAAACTTACCTCTGTAATAGAATATACTGAAGAGTATCTTTATAAAATGTTTTGATTCAAAGGAAAAAAAATTCTGTTCCAAACGTGCTTTCAGATCAAAAGTTAGTATTTGTTTGACCAAAGAGCACAAGATGTGACTGCTATAAAGTCATCTAGGTTATACAAGGCTAGGCTAGATTGAGGCTATTTAATACACTTAACTTAAATGTTCCCTTTAGATCATATGTAGAAGTGATGTTCTTTTGGCCAAATAAATCTTACTGTCCTGTTGCTAATGATCAGGACAGGGTAAGAATCAGTAGGGAGCTCCTTTGTCCAGACTCTGCTTTCTGTAAACAAGCTCAGCAAATGGCAGCAAGAAACAGAAATTAAAGATTAAGAACCCTCTCAGAGAAACATTAGTGTCCTTTTGGGGACATGTCGGAAAAGATTACTGTTTGGGTCACTTAGAGCCATAGCATTTAAAGCCACCAGTCCTACTGCCAATGCACACAGGAACAGAGGTACTTAAAACATTATCCCTACTGTAAAACAGACATAATCCCTCTAGCAAGAGGAAGAAAGAAGATTTTGCCACATATTTTAATTAAAACCATGAGGGAAGATGCCCCAGCTTATTTCTGCCAGGATTCTTTTGGTCTGTAGCAGGAACCAGTGTCCTACTATTCCTGCCTTAGTTAGTTTTTCTGTTTTTTAGCATAGATAACTAAGACTGATCCCGATCATTGCCAAGACAAGTGAAAAATGACTGTTTTGTACCTTCTCCTCCACAATAAACACCAGTGCGTGGTTAATCTGTAGGCTGTAGCAGCCTCCCTCTTCCGCACATAAGCTCCCCATCTTAATTAAATCTCACAGATATTGGAATAATTTGTTCATTAAATATAAACAGAAATGTAATTCAACTCCATGGTTGAAACAGACCAGAAAATTCAATTTTCGTTTCCTTGGCAGCTGTCACATTACCAGATTATTGACCTATAGTTGCACCCTCAAAAAAGTGCTTCACTGATTAACTGTTACGTTTTTAAGATTGCATCACTAGAATTTCAGAAATCGTGTGAGAATTTCCTCAGAACAGTTTCTGCTAGACCCCTCTTCATCTGAAAGTCAGCAGCTGTGGGAAGAAAACTGCTATCTTCATCATGAAACAGAGAAAAGATGTGGCAGCAAGCACTGGAGGAGATTTTGCACTAGTGAGGAGGCAACCATTGGCCAGGCTCTTCTGTGCTCATGTGCCATTTTGGTTACACAGACTTTAATGCCAGCCCTATTTACTCTACAGTTTTGTCAATAAGCCAGAGTAAGCTGAGCTGCAAACATGCGCGCACTATTTCACAACCTATAGCTGAAACCACTGTGAAACATTTGACAGGCCATTTGAAGGTCTGCTCTTTCTCTGCTACCATCAGGGTCCTATCTTGTTGCACAAGAAAGACGTAGTAAGCAAGTCTTCTCAGCCACTGTGGCTATTCATCATAGAAGGCAGAAATAACTTTTTTAAAACAAACAAGCAAACAAAAAAATCACAACAGCAACATGATTTTGGTGTTGTTGTTTTTAAGTGTACGCTTTATGCTTCCCTTCTATTACTGAATGTAGTTAGAGCCTGCTCAGAGTTACCACACTGTTCTGTAGGGTGGAGATCAAAATCCTGAAAGAAGGTTCCCAACTGCAAATTAAACTGGTCCCTGGAGTTCAGAAATCTGCATGCAAGAACACTCGTGTGGATCCATCAGTGACTCTCTAAATCAGCTCTACTAAATCGTATGCAAGATATTCTTGAAAAGGTTTTGGTTTTCTTTTTTACAAAAATAAATCTAGTTTATAGTCATAATTTCTACCACTGAAGAATTGCCTTTACTAAACTCTTCAGTTTTATGAAAGTCTCACACCTGGGTTACAATAATTAAGAGTACTACATGCATTAAATATTGGAATGGAGAGAACTGTCACCAGAAATTACTGCGAGTCCACTGACACTAAAATATGTACGAGTTAATTCATTTCAAATTACAGACCTTTTATTCATGACAAATATTCATTTGCTCATCCTAAAGACAAGCTACATTTATCTGATTTACTTCCAAACTATTTAGTTTTTCTATATTAAATCCCATGGGATACAAATCTTTGTATGTTCAGCCACATTTTGGTACAGCATCTTCCTTCCTCAGCATCTATCAGCAGTCATCCAGGAGTGAGCGATTTCACTGCTCTTTAAGGAGTGTGCAGTGCTGATCTTCTTCTCTCTGCCTTCATCTTTTTATATGCCTTTTGATTTATACCCTGCTCCATCTGGGCAAGCTGTGGGTCCATCCCATTTAAGATGTTAAACAAGTATAGAGTCATTAGATACTTCATGTACCACAGCCAAAGATGTACATGGTATTCACTATAGAGATTTCACTGCATTGATGCTGATGTAAATTGACAGAAAATTTGGCTATACCCACCAATCCTATTGCTTGAAGCGAGGTCAGTGCTACCAGGCTGTTCTTTAAATCTCACCTGTGCTATGAAAATGATGTTCATATTGATACTAATAATGGCCCACCACCACTTATTTTAGTAAGACACATAGTTAAACTGGTCCTGGGTCCTCCTCAGAGAGAGCCTGGCTTAAACACTATGAGCACTGTGTAAGCTGCCTGTGTATAAAGGCTCCTTCTGCTCCCCAACAGCCCCCTCTGAAATAATAAAACCAAATCTGAAAACTTTCTCTGATGTATCAGGTCTAAATAACTGCTTGCACTCAGTTAAAGAATCTGAAATACCATACGAATTTAGACTATTATTCAGAATATCAGAGAAGCCTGGAAAAAAATCTGATTGCTTCAATTATAGTTTATTTCCTGAATCTTGTGTAAGGGAAATAAATGTGCTTTATTCTAAAATTAAATGCAATGGCAAAATCTAATTATACAAGTCAGTCAACATAAATTCCAATTTGAGTGCATGTACACACCATGCTGTACAGCAATTAAACTTCCAGACTAAATGGGAGAGGCAGTTTTTTGTATGTTTAGGCATTGCAATATTTAAAGAATTTAAGTGGAATATTTATGAGTATAAATAAGATGGATAAGAAAGCCACTAAGAATTAGAATATACAGTGAAGTCTTAATTCCAGACATACAGTCTAGTCCAGTCCATAGTACATAGACTAGTACAGTCTAGTGAAGTCCACCCTGGACTTCAAAGTTTTTCACTGTTTCCCAAAAGAGATACATATAAATAAGAAAAAACATGCTGAAAATGTAGAAACTGTAATAAATTGAATGTGTGTTGGCTAAATTAACACGGTACGGTGCTGTGGTATTATATGGACACCATGTGGAAGATACTACACTGCAACAGGAGCATTCATCTTTTACCTAGCATCTCTGCAGTAAGCAAGGACAGCTGCCAATGAAGAAGAGACAAAGGAAAGAAGATGAGATGGAGGAGCCAGTGATTCATCTTGGCTTCTCAACTACAAACTGGGAAGGACTGTTATTTGGTTTTTGTTTTGCTTTTGGGGGGAGTTGTTTTTAAGAAGGGAGAAAGGAAATTCATACTTACAAATTTTCATTTCCCTCTAGTTTTGGTATTTTACAGGCAAATCTAGCATTATCTGTGTCCTTAAAATCTTTCCTTTCAGTCTCTTTTTCCATCTGCTACAGTACCTAACAATATCCCTCTCTCAGGTTCTCTGCTGCCTTGGCTGGCATACTGAATCACTGATTTTCACTGTATTTTGGATGACTAGGTGGATGTGTTTTAATCTACAATCCAAAACTTGGCTACTCCTTTTCCTCACCTTTAGATACTTAACAACAGAGGTCTCAAAGAACTCCTTGCATGAAGAATGGTCTTGATATTCTGCAACAGCGTATTGTTCTTCATTTCAGGGTTTTGCTTAGACTAAAAAAACCCTGTGCTGTATTTCAAGTTGCCTAATTCCATGGATATCAGCTGGAAGACATAGTTAAAAACACACAAACTGCATTCCTAACTCTGCTGCTGACATAATTTGTTGCCCTGAGCAAGTTATTATCCTCTCTCTGCTTGCATCTTCCCATCTGTTAGGGTGCCCCATAGGGGTTTGCTAGCTTAATAATGCATTAGTCTTTGCAAAGCTTTCCAAAAGCTTTTGGTGCACACAGCTTACAGTGCGATGGGTTATTTAAAAAAAAAAAAACAAAAACAACAAAACAAAACGAAAACAGCTAAGACAAACTGCATACTCAATTTCTAGACAACCTTCTTGACTCACAGAAGCATAATTTCCATTTATTTATAAGAAAACTGAAGTCAGAGGAGTGGACATAGCTGAGATCCCACAGTATTCTTTGTAGCTTCCCTGTTTTATGGTAACAATGGCCAAGTAAGAGCAGTGGGGACAGAGGTCCTTACCCTCCTCAGCACATTGTGAGGCCACTGGCTCCCCTCTCCTCCGGCATGGAATTAGGTTCTCTCTGTTCAACTTGGAGACATGAAGGATAATTAGAGGAGCCTACTTTGCAGCAAGTACCTCCCCACACCTTGACCAAAATGTCTAGAGAAATTCACACCTCTAAGATCTGCCGTACTGAAGAAGACACAAACCTAGATCTGTTTGTTTTCCTTGCAGATATCTCCATACTTACAGACAAAAAGATTAGCTATTTTATATTCTGAGGAGATAGGATCTGGATAGAGGGGAACAAAATATGGCTCACACCATGCTGGAATTAAAACTGGAACTTGACAACTCTAGGTTTGTGCTCTCTGCATTGGCAACCATCTGTTGCTTTCA